GGGGGGGGGGGGGGGGGGGGAGGGTCAGAATTGATGGTAATTAGCTATGTAATTACAAGGTTAAATTTTAATTTCTTTCCTTTTTATGTTTATTTTAATTCATTTTTCGTTATAACTTTTTATTTCCATTATTTTTTTTTATTATTTTTTTTTTAATTTTAAAATATATTTTTCTTTGTATATTATTTATCTACCTTTTACTTCTTGTGAATCCATGTAATTTCTCATATATTTTATGTTTTCTAATCTTAAGTTGTATTGAAACTCAGTATGTTTCCTAATCTTAAGTTGTATTGGGAAATTTTTTTTATGTTGGAATTTGATATATGTTAAACTATTTTTTTTTTTGGATTTTGCAATTGTGTAATACTTATGGTTTTAATTTATTTATTTTAATAGTATTTGCTTATTATTTCACATTGCACGTTGTTCATTTTTTAGTTAGAATTAATAGAATAGTTTTGTCAAATATTTGAATAATGTTATGATATTATATTTATAAATTAATTTATTTGATCAACACATGCATTCCATAATGTTCTTACAAAACCTATGTTTTTAGCTTTTATAATTAATTAAAATAATAATTATTAATTTAGAAAATATATATCAATTATTTTTACAATATTAGTTATAAATATATTATTAATAATTAATGCACATTCAAGAAAAATATATGCATCTTAAATACCAAATCTAATATCATTTATACTTATAAAAAATAATTTATATGCATATATTTATTATATTAATCTTTAAATTATGATAATTAGTTTATTTAAAATTTAATCTAATTGTGTAATTACACTTGTACAACCAAACAATATATTTGTAATTACGTTATGACAAACAAACAGATCGTCGCAATTACTATATTGGTAGTAATTACACCAATTTTAATTACCGGGTGGCTTTTCAAAACGTTTCCCTAAGTGTGTCTAAAACCTATATCAATATTAAATGAAAATAATTAGAGACCTTTATTGTGACACTAAGGTTGCAATACAAATTGCTCTCAATTCTATTTTTCATGAGAGAACCAAACACGTTGAAAGATTGTGCAATAGCAAAAAAGGGCCAAAATTTAAGATATTTTCAAATTTCATGTTTAATTAAATTAAATTTAACTAGGTACATGCTTAAATAAAGAAAATGAAAAGAAAATTCTCCCTTTTTTCCTTAAAAGCTTTTCCAATCCAAAGAGACCAAATTTTCAAATTTAGAAAAAGAAGTTGTGCACAAAAAATTTCTCAAAAACGTCATTCCCTTTCTACCCTTTACCATTTTCCTCCGCAACTACTTCACCACACATTTTTCTACCTTTCACCCTTCACCGGCCGGCGACCCCAAAAAATGGACGGCGGCAGCATATTAGAAACGATCGGAACTGAAATCATCGGAGTAATGTCACCGGTCTCCATTTGCATGTTCCTCGTAGTTCTCATCGTCTACTCTCTTTCCTCAATTTCCTCTTCCGATCAACAAGTCCTCCGTACAGCTGCTAACCTAGTATACCTCGAATCACCCACCGACACCACTTCTACTAAACTCGAAGGCGCTCTCCTTAATGCACTCGTCTTCGTACTCCTCATAACTCTCGTTACATTTCTCCTCGTAATCCTCTATTACTACCGTTTCACTAATTTCCTCAAATATTACATCCGTTTTTCGGCGTTCTTCGTTTTGGGTTCAATGGGTGGGTCAATTTGTCTTTCACTAATTCAACATTTCAATATCCCGATTGATTCGTTTACTTTTGTACTACTGCTTTTTAATTTCACCATTGTTGGGGTTATTTCGGTCTTTTCACAAGGGGTTCCGATTTTGCTTAATCAAATGTATATGGTGGCTTTAGGGATTATTGTTGCAGCTTGGTTTACTAAATTACCTGAATGGACTACTTGGGTTGTGCTTGTTGCACTTGCTTTATATGATTTGGCTGCGGTTTTAGCCCCCGGGGGGCCGTTGAAGATATTGGTGGAGTTAGCTTCTAGTAGGGATGAAGAGTTGCCGGCTTTGGTGTATGAAGCCCGGCCCAATGTGGGTTCAAGATCAGGGAATAGAGGGCCTAACTTAGGGCTTTTGTTAGCTGGGTTTTCAGATGGGGATTCAATTGAGCTTGGGGTTATGTCTAGTGGCGAAAATGTGGCTCAGAATGGGAGCGAAAATGGGGAGATTGGTGGTGTTAGAGAGGTTGAAATTGAGGGGGAGACGTCACCATTGATAAGCGATGGGCACGTGGCGAATCAAGAGATAAGGGAAAGTAGTAATGAGAGTAATCGGGGTCGGGTTATGGGGAGGGAGAGAGAGAGGGAAATGGAGGAAGAGGAGGAGAGAGGGAGGGGGATAAAGCTTGGTTTAGGAGACTTTGTTTTCTATAGTGTGTTGGTGGGTAGAGCTGCAATGTATGATTTGATGACTGTTTATGCTTGTTATCTTGCTATTATAAGTGGGTTAGGTTGCACACTTATACTGTTAGCTGTGTGTAGGCACGCGTTGCCAGCGCTCCCTATATCCATTGCCTTGGGGGTTATCTTTTACTTCTTGACGAGGTTGTTGATGGAACCATTTGTTGTTGGGACTTCGACGAATCTTTTGATGTTTTGACCCCTGATTTACGGAGGAGATTAGAAAAATACAGGATATGTTATGAGACATACATTTTGATTTACAAGAAAGCTAATTGCTTAGGGTACCCATGCCCTTGTTTCAAGATTCTGAATAGGAAGGGACAACTCCAGCTATATTTTGTTCTGATCTATCTGTAAATTGCAAGGATATTGAGGTTGTCCCTCTATTGATTCTAACCGATTCTGTTTCACGTTTCACCTATGATGTTAAGAATATTATATTCATCTCATTTGGCCATGAGCCAAAAGGGGTATTCCGTATTCCATACACTTGACGTGTAGCATACTTTATGATTCGACAAACTTATGTAACTAGCTATGTATCGACTATTGCTGTAAGTAGTTCTATTGCTTATTTGCAGTTCTACTGGTAACAAGCTACTTACTGATATTTTGGGTTTGACCCAAACCTCTTGAATGCGTAAGATTCTACTTAATGTTATTCCTCTTGGATTTTAAGCATACATCCGAATAGAAAGGGAATCGACTGCCACATAAAACTAAAGACCAGTTGTACTATATCTGGATTCGACGATTCAGAATAATAATGATTCAACATAATTTTTAATGGATTTGTAGTTGTAAGTATATATGCAGTCTCTTAGAATTCTGATTAGTTTTTGCAGTGGATTAGAGAATTCTTCTCCAAGTTTAGTTTGGTGCTGGTAATAGGTAACACTGCTTTCTTTCTCTCACACTCTGACCGTCAGACTATGTCAGTGTAAATAAAGATGCAGGAGGACCGTCTGAGTCCAGCATCTCGTGCTCCATGTCTCCTAAGCAGCACCAGCTGACTTGAAACTGATCTTTATTCTCTCAAACTGAAGTTGGTGCATCTGTTTATGGCAAGCAGCGAGTTAAAGAATTTGTTGTTTTTGGACCTTGACAATATCTCATTTGGATGGGATCATATCCTTGCGCTAAGCAGTTACTAGAGGCATTCTTTACAGATGCTTTTTTGGTAGCCAAGGAAGAGAGATCAAGGGCAAATGAAACAAATAGTAGAGCAAGGTTACAAATGTGCTGCCTCTTTGAGGTATTCTGGTTAAGGTGCTAAAGATTATTCCCTTCACTTGCATTTCTTTCAACTTTATCTGTTTCCTAGGAACCTAGACTCAGTGGATGGAGTTAAACCCCTGTGCACATTGAAAATAGTCATTGAAGCTTAGGTACCTTCCACTGAAAACCCAGTTCTGTGAACAATCCTCTGCACTAATGCATGCTTTCCATTTCTCTTCCTTCTTCTTTCGTTATTTAGCCAGCGGAGATTTTTCTTAGTATTGGTTTTTTTAGATTGAAGTCAAGTGGCTTAGGAAATTTTAGAACAGTTACGTCCAACCTTGTGTTTTATGTTAGATGCCCCAGTTCTGTGCCTTCACTGACTTTATTCCACCTTAATAAAAGAAAAGAGATACAAATGGCGTGGCTTTTATTGGCAACTAGTAATTTGGTCTTCCCAAATGGTTTGATCACTCGGTATGCTTCTTATAACTTGCAATGTTTGGCTTCTCTATTCAGGCTAATATTCTACCCAGATGCCAGCCTACCTTACTGCTAGTGTTCATGTGTAACCCACAGGCTTCCCCTGCCTACTAAATGCTCGCGCTATCAGGTCTACCTCATATTGCTCAAGTACTGATTTGCATTAGTTCAGATTTCTAATTTCTATCCTTAATTGTTGCACTGGCGCCATTTTGATATAATGCTATTGGCCTTTATCTGATATAATAGTGAGCATTGGCTTGCTCCATTTCCTTAGTCGGTTTCACCACTTGTGTCTCCAGCAAAACTGCACTGTCCAAGTTTCACTCTTAGCATGATTTCTATAACATGGCTGGCGAGTTCAGCTAGACTTAGAGTTTAGGTTATTGAGTTTATTGTCTCAGACTTTTGATCACCCAAATGCTAATAACATATTTGTGAAATTGTTAGTTTGATTTAGCTTGCTGGGGCTACTGTTGCCAGTTATTGGAATGACAATGACTAAGATTATTTTCTTCTAAAGGATTAGTTGTAGTGGAGTATTGTTTTATAAACGACACGGAAAGTATTTTTTCCATTTCATCCAAATTAGCTGCTACTTTGCTTTCGTAGGTCAAATTTGAAGTGCCCTTGGATGTAGATAAACTTTATTTGAAATCCAATTGTAGTACTCTATTGGGTGGCATCAACCTTGGAGTGAGGCGGAGCCAGAATTTGATGTTTATGGGTTCTTAATTTGCCACGGAACCTATAGCTCGTCTTAGTTACTGGGTTCGTGATTAAATATTTTTGCATATTTAATGAATTTTCTAGTACAAATGCAGTGTTTAAGCAAAAGTGATTGGGTTCGGTCGAAGGTTAGCTCCGCTTCTGCTTGGAGTCCTTATGAAATTCAAAGGAAACTGAATCCGTAAACAATTGCTCCGGGGGAAAACATAGGCTTTGGTGCTATTTTACAAACTATTATATGCCATTGTAGACAGAGCTCCAGAAATGGTTGTCTGCTCTAACGATGAGAGATAATAAATATCTGGTTGAATAATTAAAGAGTCCAAGTTTGTTCGAACATCACTTTTATAAGTAAAGGAAATTGTTATCTGCACGTTTTGATTGCCAAGCTAACGGCAGCAGAATCGCAAATAGTTCTGTCCACTCTCTTATCAAAAGGAAGTAATCAGACTGATCGAGTTTTTAATACCACTAAATGGATTTTGAACTGAGTACCCAACTTTCTATGATTAATATTGTATACTATATGGTTTTGGTGGCGTTGAAGTCTCTTTATTGTACTCTAAACTTAACATCTTAAACATTATGCTTTAGGCAAGTCGACTTGTAACTATTTGACATCTATCCACACATTTTACCGATCAAAAGAATTCTGTACACACTTCTATTTGGTTAGTAGTATAATATTACACGAACACAAGAAGAGCAATGCAACCCACTATGATTTGTTTTTTCTATACAAGGGTACATCGCTGCTCAACTCCCTTACCAAACTCTCTCTCCCTCTATTTCTGCCAAAAGTTATAGCAATTTTGACAGCAATTGAAGATCACAGCTCAGCCATTTGCAAATTGCAATAGTTTATTTCCACTTCAGAAGGTATGATTGCGGGGTTTCCATGAGCATTTCAAAAATCAAACAACTATACAACACAACTCTTCATCTTTTGTCATCAAATGCTTTTGCTTTTTCTACAGATTCCATTGCTTCTTCAAACGATTTCTACACTCAAAGATCACAAAGAAGATTGTTATGGAAAATTATTCGACATGTTACTGCTTACTATAACAAATACTTCTAGGACTGAATGACGAAACTCAAGTCATATAAATCTACACAGAAACAATAAAACTACAAAAGCAAGAAGATAAGCTGTAAAAGTTAGGAGTCCACTGCCAACTGAAATGTCCAACTATTCACATAATCCAAAACTATGACCAACCAGAGCTTTTACCAGCTTGGCAAACTTTTCAGAAATCATATTTAACAGAAAACGGATTATATCATTTTCTTATATGTAAGGAATAGGAAATAGGTATTTCATATCCCACTGACTGGCATACATTAATCATTCTCGTTAACTTAAATCCCAGCTTCACGGATTGCTTATGGACCAAAAATGAAGGTCACATATATCTAAAAGAAGATAAGAGATCTAGAGCAAACAGTATCCTAAACCAAGTCACATTGTTAAACTAAAGATCCATATCTAATCCTACCATTGATGCAAGAAAAAGGAGGACCAAATATATTAAAGTGTACGCAACAGTAAACCTTGTTTGGACTACACTTTTTTGGTTCGTTATGACACAGTTTGAATCTCTATGCTGTTTCAATTAATGAAAAGTGTATGAATGGTGATGGATAAAAGGAAGAGAAGTCATACTCCAGAATTTTGCATCTTCCATAGTGCCTCCCCACCTGCATCAACTACATATGTTGCACCTAACAATACACTGTAGAGAAATATATATCAGTGATATCCTGAGAAGATCTTAACTGGGTCAACATTGAGGTAAATAACTTATCCACATCAAAAACATTGAGGTAAAACAAAAGAGCAAGGTGATGTCTTAGAGAGTCGAGTTGTTCACATGAATAACAAAGTTTAGGATCTAACGCCTGGACAGTCAATAGGACAAATCATTACAACAACTTCCTCTAGAGCTTAAAGACAAATCATTCAGTATTGGCATGAAACAAGTCTTTTTATCCGCAATATAAATCATGTAAAAATTCACTAAAATTGCAATAAATAGTAAAATATGAACCCATAACTTTAAAAATGTATCGAGTTCAATGCTAAAAACCGTAAATGTTGAACCACATAGAGCTAAACTCCTTGATCGGCCTCTGGTCCAAATGGAGCATGATGGATATTGAAAATTCATATAGCCAACTCAAACTATCTGAGATTTGAAGGACATTTATTCATGTTCTTGTACCACTAATACAACTTTTTTTTATCAATCAAATAGTATCATATAAAATGGAAGTAGGGGAACAAAATACAAAAGCCCCACAAAAAAATTAAAAGGAAAGGGGCAAAGGGGAAAGGAGAATTACCCAGCCAAGGCAGCGTTGAGGAGAAACGCCCGCGTGGTCATGAACCGCATAACCGTTTCCAATTTGGTAAAAACGCTAGCAGAACCTCCATCTGCAGGCCGACTATACCCATATCCATAACCGTAATTATTCCTATAACTGTTCTGATAACTATTACGGTAATAATTGTCACTATTACCACCGCTATAATAATTATTCGCAGAATTCCGGTAACTATTTTGACGAATATTGTAATCAGCGCGTTTGCGATCGTCGATCAGAGTCTCGTACGCTTCGGAAACTTGCTTGAATTTGAGAGTAGCGTTTTCCTTTAACTGTTGCGGTGAATGTACGTGCTTGTCGGGATGAAATTCCATTGCCAATTTTCGAAACGCTTGTTTAATATCTTCCTTGCTTGCGCTTCGTGTTAACCCTAATATTTTGTAGTGATCCATTGTTTGTTGTTTTCAGCTAATTTTTCTGTCAATTTGGAGGAAGTGGAAATGGAGGTTTCAGAGGTTATGTACGTGTAACTATGGCAAAAAAAGAGAGAAGTACGTGACCTCGTGGAGCTTCCATGGCCGTGAGTGCTCTTCGTCAATCGCTGTAAATATTAAAATCACTCGATTCGAAGATTTTTCTTTTTTTCCATTCGAAGATTGTAAATTTCAAAGATAAAAGTATTACGGTAAGAATATAAATAATTAATACTAACTAATACGTAGAAACAATAAAAAAGGATACAATATTACTGTACAATTTTGTAACTTTTAAGAAAATGAATATAGTTTTGTTTGTTTTTTTAATTGTGACTGCAATTCCAATTGTGAACTCTTTTATTTATTTAAACACCATCTCAACTATTTCATTGACGTTAAACCACGCAAATTAGAACATCCGCTCAGCAATTTGAATTGAATTGGTTCAATTTAAAACTGAATTTAGCAGTTTGACATTTTTTATAACTCCTACAAAAAACATAACACTTCCGCCGTCTTTCAGATGAAAAAACCAAATGTTAGTGACGGATATTTTCCTCTAAACTAGGCCAGACCTTAAGTTGAGGAAATAATTTCACCTCTTCGAGCCAGCCTATGAATTCAGATTAGGAATTCATTAAACTATGGTATAATCAAACAAGTACGAGGGATTTGGGCTTGTAACATAAAACTGTGGTTTTTGATTATTTGACATAAAATTCCTATCTCCAAAGGGACCTTATTCGTTGATATCGTAAAAATTGCATGAGGCGTCCTATTTGGTCGTCTCTTTTTAATTTATACCCGTTTTGTTTTTTCGTTTGCATCCGTACCCATTTTTTTGTTAAAAGCATTTTAAAAAAACGATTTTGCCCTTCTTTAATAAAAAACTATTGACAAAACTGTAGACTGCAGGACAAAACTTCAACATATTTTGGTATGAAATTTTAGCAAATGAACTAAATAATTTCAGCATGCATTAGAAAAAACTAATTAGAAAATTACATAATGCAAGACAAAAACTTAAGCATGTTTAGTCTGAAATTTTAGCAAATGAACTAAAAAACTTCAGCTTGTTTAGACTGAAGTTTCGGATAAAACTCATGACAAAACTATAGACTGCATGACAAAACTTTAGCATGCTTCGGTATGAAGTTTTAGCAAATGAACTAAATAACTTCAGCATGCATTAGCAAAAATTCATTAGAAAATTACATACTGCAAGACAAAAAGTTAAGCATATTTAGTGTGAAGTTTTAGCAAATAAACTAAAAAACTTAAGTATGTTTAGTCTGAAATTTTAGCAAATGAACTAAAAAACTTAAGTATGTTTAGTCTGAAATTTTAGCAAATGAACTAAATAACTTAAACATGTTTAGTATGGAGTTTTAGCAAACGAACTAAATAACTTAAGCATGTTTAGTCAGAATTTTTAGCAAATGAACTAAAAAACTTAAGCATGTTTAGTCTGAAACTTTAGCAAATGAACTAAATAACTTAAGCATGTTTAGTCTAAAGTTTTAGCAAATGAACTAAATAACTTAAGCATGTTTAGTATGGAGTTTTAGCAAATGAACTAAATAACTTAAGCATGTTTAGTCTAAAGTTTTAGCAAATGAACTAAATAACTTAAGCATGTTTAGTCTGAAGTAGGAGTGGCAAAATAGTTAAAAGAAAACAGTCAACTACCCATTTTATCCACTAAAAAATGGGTTGGATAGTGAACTTTTTAAAAATTGGTCAAATGTGGATAAGAACCATATTATCCATTTAGAAAATGGATAATCAATGGGTAACAAATGAATAACTAATGAGTTTAACTTTTACATTTGTAAAACCTCAAATTGAGGGTTCCTCAAGTTTGGGAGACTAGAAATTCTCCCAAAAGTGATCATATTCATGAAGTCATGGATAATATGGTTACCCATATTATCCGTCGGTTAACCCATTTTTTATCCGTATTAAATATGGATCGCGTCGGATAATTTATCCATTTTTTCATTACCCGTTTTCGACCCGAACCATATCCAACCCGACCCGCCCGTTTGCCACTCCTAGTCTGAAGTTTTAGCAAATGAACTAAAAAACTTAAGCATGTTTAGTCTGAAATTTTAGCAAATGAACTAAATAACTTCAGCATACATTGGCAAAAAATCATTTAAAAATTATATACTGCAAGACAAAAACTTATGCATGTTTAGTCTAAAATTTTAGCAAATGAACTAAAAAACTTAAGCATGTTTAGTCTTAAATTTTAGCAAATGAACTAAAAAACTTAAGCATGTTTAGTCTGAAATTTTAGAAAATAAACTAAATAACTTAAGCATGCATTAGAAAAAACTCATTAGAAAATTACATACTGCAAGACAAAAACTTAAGCACGTTTAGTCTGAAATTTTAGCAAATAAATTAAAAAACTTAAGCATGTTTAGTCTGAAATTTTAGCAAATAAATTAAAAAACTTAAGCATGTTTAGTCTGAAATTTTAGCAAATAAACTAAATAACATAAACATGTTTAGTCTGAAGTTTTAACAAATGAACTAAATAACTTACGCGTATTTAGTCTGAAGTTTTAGCAAATGAACTAAAAAAACTTACGCGTGTTTAGTCTGAAGTTTTAGCAAATGTACTAAAAAAACTTAAGGATGTTTAGTTTGAAGTTTTAGCAAATGAACTAAAAAACTTAAGCATATTTAGTCTGAAATTTTAGCAAATGAACTAAATAACTTAAGCATATTTAGACTGAAGTTTTAGCAAACGAACTAAATAATGTAAGCATGTTTAGGCTGAAGTTTCGGATAAAACTCATGACAAAACTGTAGACTACAGGATAAATAATTTCAGCATGCATTAGCATGAAGTTTTAGCTTCAACGTGAAACAACTTCATGCTATATTAGCATGAAGTTTTAGTTTCAACGTGAAACAACTTCATGCAAGTGTGATTCTAAAGATGAATTTAGACAAATTTTTGGTTTTTTGATAAAGCTGCCAAGAGGAGAGGAGAAAATCTTTTTTCACGAATGAGATTGCAGATCACGCAATTAATGCGTGATGCAAGTTTTATATCTTTTGTCAGGGGTGCAATTATCATATTATTACGGATTTTTTGTCAGCTGGCTACCAAATCAATAATTTTTAAAAATAAGATACATATTAAAAGGTGGCACAAATATAGAATACGGCTACAAATCCCCCGTTGATAGCTCCCCAGGATTTCTTTTCCATTTTTTCTGTCCAAATTACAGTCCAAGAAATAGGAAGTGATTTTTACCAGAATCCAATATCCGACATCATAAAGAATCCAACTTCCTTTGAACTATTTCTTTTCCATTATAATCTTCAAGTTGCAAACAGAGTGCGTAAGAGTCAACTCCTAGATAAGAATATAATTTTGGAAAATACTTGCCATTTACTGAGCCCCCACCCACCCAAAAAAAAAAAACCTAAAAAGCATTCTTAGAGGAATACAAGGTTGTCCACACTCAACTATCAATACATGAAGTTGCAAAGCAGCAAAAAGCTAACATTGCCTAGCAACAGCCAAAATGTAATGCAAGTAACAGAAGTTCTGGATTCCAGCAGGTTCACTCTGAAAAACATATACCAGAACATAACAAAGCATCCCAAACTAAACAACATACTTCGAAACAAGTATTCACAGACATCATGTATAAAAGTAGAGTTGGATCACTTCTTAGGATCCACTAGATCATGTCAATTTCGACTCCTCATATGAACAAGTGTTTATAATCACCATTTGCCAGCAAGCAAACATGGTTATAGCTATGTGTATCTACAAATACGGAAAAGAGGCATGTCAGAATTTATTCCTTTGAAATTTCTGAGTAATAGCAAGCAAATAAGATGTAGTAATATGAATCCATGAAGATGGGTAAGACTAGTATCAATACTCATTTGCACTTCCAATTTAATCAAATTAAATCATCGGTGACTTGATTTCCATTTTCGACGAAAAGAACAAAGTTATTCCTAAAAGCTTTATCTAGTTGTTCTCCAAGGAGGGGATGGGGAGCTTAGATACCTACGCAAAGATCCCTTTGCAAACTCGTAAGGATTTAAAGATGACCAAGTTCACGGACAAGTGTATATTCAACAACCAGATATATTAGTAATCTGTTTATAGATCCCTGTTGCACAATCCAATAGAGAGCTGACAATAATTCCAACCAAGATATGATTTAAAATACTCCTAATAATTCAAAGGAGCTTTTTGGATGTAATCTTAGCGAGGAAAGAAAATCTAGAAGAAAGTAACTTTAAGCGGCTTTTCTTTCAGCATATTTTTGCAGGTAAAAAGCTAGAGAACATTTGTAGTTAATGACTTTAAAGCAAGTGCAGAACCAACACAAAGCAAACAAAGAAAGCAATCATAAAGATTCCACCACCTAAAGACATTGCGAGATAAAACATTATCAAAATTATTAATGTGAATGATTTGAAGTGATACCTAGAGTGTCCCCAAAATTGGACCATATTTCAGCACGGATAGATTGGTTACTGTCAGCGATACCTATGACCTCAACAAATGTCGTAAGAGGACCAGGGGGATTGCCTTTCACAGCTATCTGCTGCTCATCTGTAGATCTCCCAATCACTGTACCACCATCAGAGCGCATAACCTGAATCACAGCTCGAACCTTCCTTCCCACATACGAGCGGAGGAGCTCAGCATTGACAAAGACGGCAGGATTTGATGTATCCATACCTCTAAAAGGCAAAAGGAAAATTGGGAAATGAGTTGAACGAACAAGGTTGAGTTTTGGCAGATTAAAACTATGTTTTCAACCATTTCTATCCATAATTACACACAGTAGCATGTTCATTCGTTCATTCAGCTTAGAAACAACAATTGCATTTGACTGCACTATTCAGTCTAAGCTATCAATACTTCTATTAGTAGAACTATTGCTACGCAACAATGCAATGACCCAAGTTCTTTTTTTGTTGGAGTGAGGCGGGGGTCATGAAAGCATAGCAAATATAAAAGCACCAATTCAGATAAGAGAAAAATAGTTGAAGTTTTGCAAACCCAAAGTGTCCTACAAGAAGATTCAACCCAAAAAGTAATACAAAATTCAATAAAGAAGAAACAGTTAAGGAAAGATGAATCAAGACAAAGATATAGACAGAAGTGAAAAAAGCCCAGAATTAAGAGGGAAGATGGGGATATAAGATGAAGAGGCAAAAGAAAAGGAAAGCCATATTCAAGATGGGTAAAACATGAGGGAGATCGAAACAAAAAGAAGGAAGGGAAAATCAAATAAACTAACTAAACCAATAGAAGGAGGAGGAGAACCAGACCTTTAACCTTATTCACCTTCTCCCTTACTGAAGATCTCTTTTCAAGACAGCTTTAGGTCATGAACTTCATGTATTCATTATGCTTATAAAAAGATAAAAACACAAGATTTTGAAAACCATTTAAAGAAACAAACCTAATCTTGACAAAAATTTATCAACACATCTGAATTTGATTCTCATCCTTCAACATTACTCCGATTCAAGTACTTAGACTATTAATTATGCAAGACAAAATAAGTTTTATCTTATTTTACTGTGCAGCTTGTTTTTTCTTTTATGTTAAGGTAAGCACTTTAACAATACATAGCACATGAGCTGTCCTTTCAGCACTTCGTCCTGTGTTTACTACTGCACTCAAAGCCAGGAAAATTAAATTTATCTACTTAATTCCCATGATGCTAATGCAAAAGAAAATTTTACAAAGTTTAATTTTGTGATTTAGTTCTTTCCTCCTTTCCTGAGACAAGTTTGTGACCTTTATATTTCCTTCATTGATAATGTTAATCACTTTTTTCTCCAGGAGCACAGCCTCTGTGCTATCACTACCATCTTCTAGAGCTCCTGTCAAAGCTCCCAACTCCACAAGATAACTCATAGGCGGTAATAGACCTGACCACCCACCTATCAAGCAAGCAACACCCAACACCCCACTCCCCCAACCCCTCACGACGGGTCCTTCTTAGGCTTTATGGTAAATATCATTAGAAGTCACAAACAAGACAAGATGTCCCTGTTAGATTACAAATTTTAACAACCTTTAACAAAACGTCCTCAATTCTTCTTATCTTTCGGTAAGCAGTAAAGAGCTAAAGTAAACAAATTTTTCTTTGCTTCTTTTAACAATTTTCATCACTTTCTCTTTTACCACTAACTAAAAAGCCAACCAAGCTATAAAACACATTTCATAGTTAATCATCCCAAATCCTAATTCCCCAAAAGCAGCAAAAGAGAAAGGAAAAAAAAATAGATCGCACCTACGTACATTCACTGAACAACACTACTCCGAAATTCAACTCACATATACAGTTAACATTCAATCGTAGGGCTGAAAACTGAAGCTCAGACGACGATATTAGCTACTTATTACAGTTCGTATAGCAAAATTCGTATGATGAAATCACAAAGGGAATAGATATACAAATTAGAAACGAGAGCGAATTACCTGTTAGATTTCGAAGCTGATGAGTTTCCCCTTGTGAATGGTGATATGAAGAGTCTAGAAATGTTTGAATCAGGGGAAAATGATAAATCTTTGCCTCGAAACCCTAGCAGTTGAAATAATATGCGAAACTTTTCTCGCGGGAAATAGCGCGCCCTTAAATTTTGGTCATTTTAGAATTAATTTTATATATGGTTAAAAAGAACTAGTGGAGAGTTATGTCAAAATTATCAGCCGTCATTCACGAGTGGAAATGTGGAGAGTTAATTTTAAGTGTTGTTATTAAAGTTCAATTATTATCTATATCTATCTATCTATATCTATATCTATTTATTGTTGGTATATTTAATATTAACCATGGATTTTAATTTGGATATAGTATTTATTATAGAATAATTATTTATTCAATTTTAATAAAGTTTTAAATAGATCATATATTAGTTTGTGTCATTTACTTATATAGTAGATGATTTAGTGTATAGAGTTTAGCTTATACACGAAATATTAAATCATCGGTTCTTATAAGTAAAGATCATGTTCACAATCTAATGATGGAATTGGACAAACCATCACGAATGATTGTAACACAAGATTAAGTATAATTTATCTTGATTATGGGAATGGTTTAATTCCAACTTCTTGTGCTAGTACATTTTGTATGTATTGAACGGACCAAGTAGAAATAAGTATTTTATACTGACTTAATAAAATAAATTCTTTAGCTATTAAATGTACTTATACTCTTAATCTTGACATAATTATTATTAGCTGTATATATTATTATTGTTTTGATTTATTAAAAGGCGAGATCCTTTCGTGGGTCGATATGCCTGGTAAATTGGATAATGGTGATATACATTGGCAAAGTAATAGTTAGTTGATGGAATCCATATATCTGTTTAGAGATTTATGATATACCTTTATGAAAGCTTATAAGTTTTTATGTGTAAACCCTGCATGTGGATATTTTATCCGTCACATAAAATAAGTTAAGTGTAACGACCCGACCGGTCGTTTTGGTCATTTATGCTCCTTTCTACTATTTGAAGTCTCGAATACCTTCATACGATGTATTATGACTTATGTGAATTGTCGATTTTGATTTTCAGGTATTTATGAGTTAGTTTGGAAGAATGAAATCCAAAGATTTAAAGCTTAGGTTAAAATAGTGATTAGATGTCGACTTATATGTAAACGACCCCGGAATAGAGTTTTGATGATTCCAATAGCTCCGTATGGTAATTTTGGACTTAGGAGCATGTTCAGAAAATTATTTGAAAGCCCATAGCTAAATTAGACTTGAAATGGCTAAAATAGAAATTTAAGTTTGGAAGTTTGACCGGGGAGTTGACTTTTTGATATCGGGGTCGGAATCTGATTCTGAAAATGGGAATAGCTCAAATATGTCATTTATGACTTGTGTGCAAAATTTGAGGTCAATCGGACGTGATTTGATAGGTTTCGGCGTTGTTTGTAGAAATTTAAAATTTCAAAGTTCATTAGGCTTGAATTGGGGTATGATTCGTGGTTTTAGCGTTGTTTGAGGTAATTTGAGGGTTCGACTAAGTTCGTATGATGTTATGGGACTTGACGGTATGTTTGGTTGAGGTCCCAGGGGCCTCGGGTGAGTTTCGGATGGTTAACAGATCAATTTTGGACTTGGCATTCCAGCTGAAGAATGTTGGTTTTCTGTCATTGGTTTTCTTCTACGCGATCGCATGAGAATGTCCGCGATCGCATAGGATTGTTTGAGGCAGTGATGACTTTGTTCTTCGCGATCGCGTGAAGAGGGCTGCTATCGCGTAGCTATGCAAGTTTGTTATTCGCGAACGCGTGAAGAAGGTCGCGTTCGCGTAGAATAAGTGGAGCAAAAGTAGAGGTCATGCGTTTTGTGCTTCGCGATCGCGTTAACGAGTCCGCGATCGCGTAGGCCTGTGAGAGTGAGCTTCGCGATCGCGTAGGGTTAAATCTGAGCAGTGGAAATTTGTGCTTCGCTGTAATGACTCAACCGGTCATTTTAACTTTTAAAACTCCGTTCCCCTAAATAAAACTCCCCGTATGTATTTTTATAAATTTATGACTTGCGGGGGATGGTTGGTTCGGGATTTTGAAAGTGTTCGGGTTGAAATCGGAACACTTGGTTCTTTAAGTTGGCCTTAAAATGCTAAGTTTGACTTTGGACAATATTTTGAGAAAACAACCCTGGAGTAGAATTTTGATGATTCCAACAGCTCCGTATGGTAATTTTGGACTTAGGAGCGTGTTCGAAATTTTATTTGGAAGTCCGTAGTTAAATTAGACTTGAAATATCTAAAATAGGAATTTAAGTTTGGAAGTTTGACCGGGGAGTTGACTTTTTGATATCGGGGTCGAAATCCAGTTCCGAAAATTTTCATAGCTCTGTTATGTCATTTATGACTTGCGTGCAAAATTTGAGGTCAATCGGACTTGATTTGATAGGTTCCGGTGTCGTTTGTAAAAATTGAAAGTTTCAAAATTCATTAGGCTTGAATCTATGTGTGATTCGTGTTTTTTGTGTTGTTGGATGTGATTTGAATACTTGACTAAGTCCGTATATGTTTTAGGACTTGTTGGTATATTTGGTTGAGGTCCCGAGAGGCTCGGGCGTGTTCGGATAGTATTTAAAGTATTTTCCTTCATTTTGGCACTGCTGGTAGCTGCTGATTTCTGGTATTTTAAACCTTCTTCGCGATCGCGAAGATTGGGACGCGATCACATTGGCTTAGTTGAGGCAGTGTTAATTTTTGTTCTTTGCGACCGCGTGGCATTGTTTGTGATCGTCTAAGGTTAATCGAGGGCTGCTAAGTTTTGTGCTTCACGATCGCGTAAAGCGGGATGCGATCGCGTAGCTTTGAGACCTTGTGACTCGCGAATGCGTGAAGACGGTCGTGTTCGCGTAGAGTAACGAAGCAGGAGTGGAGGTCACGCGTTTGATCTATGCGATCGCATGAAGAGAACTGCGATCGCGTAGAGCTGAGAACTCTGTACTTTGCGATCGCGTGGGGATATACGCGATCGCGTAGAGTTAATTTTTGGGGGTGGAAATTTGTGCTTCGTGATCGCGTGTGGATGTTCGCGATCGCGAAGAGTAAAAGTCTGGGCAGAGAGTTTGAGTTTTAGAAATGGGCCATTTTTAACGATTTGGAGCTCGGATTGAGGCGAGTTTTGGGAGATTTTTAGAGAAAGCATCGGGGTAAGTGTTCTTAACTCAATTTTGGTTAGATTACCCAAATCCATCACTGTTTTTATCAGTTAATTGGTGATTTAAGTTGGAAAATTTTGAAAACCCTCTTGGATAGATTTGAGGATTTAAGGGTCGAATTTTTATTGAAATTTAGTCATTTTGGTATGGTTAAACTCGTGGTTGAACGGGCGTTCATATTTCATAACTTTCGTCGGATTCCGAGACGTGGGTCCCACGAGCAATTTTTGAGTTAATTTCGGATTTTATTAAAAAATGTAGTATTTTCTTATGAAATTGATTCTATAATTTTTGTTGACTGTATCAAATTAATTATGACTTGATACGAGTCGATCAGAGTCGTAAAATCGAGGAAAAGGCATACTACTTGATTAAATTGGAGCAAGTCGAGGTAAGTGACTTGTCTAACCTTGTGTGGGAGAAATTTTCCCTAGGATTGATATTATTGTGATAATTGCAATGTATTGAAAGTCGTGTACACGAGATGACGAGTGTGTACACGGGCTAAATATGGAAGATTATGTCTTTCAATTGTGTAGAGCACTGTTGCATATAAATTAAATTGTTTTATTCTGTTATATTCATCATCATTAATATATTTTCGTATTTTAAATTTGCCTGACTTGTTCCTGCTAAGTGTTTACCTGTTTAGTTGAAACTCTGTCTTCTTTTGTTATGCGCGTTACTTGGAGGATTAATTTCTTAATTTAAATATTATTAAAAAAATGAAGTATTTTACATTTAAAATTTTGATATTTAGACAAGGTGTTAAATTTGTGAAATATTATTTTTGCTGAATATTTTATGAGATTTTCGTACTCATTGTGATGGAGCCGTGAGCTCTTTATTATGGAAAAATATTGTTGCTGTTTTATTTTGGCATGAGTCGTGAGCTCTTTATTGTGAAAAAATATTGTTATTGATTTATTTTGGCAAGTTGAAATATTTGGGCACTTGAGGTACAAATTTTGATATATTGTTATATTGATACGCATGGGGTGGTATAAGGTCTGGGTGTAAAAACGCATGCGGTGAGATAATGGTGGCTCGATACGCGTGGCTAGTAGGGGGGACTACTAGAAGTCATGCGGGGTGATAAAGATGGCTAAAACGCGAGATGCTATTTCAGTTAAAAATATTTTCTTTAAAATAAATAGTGAAGGCTCCCGCGGTGAGATAAGGAAATGAGATATTGTGAATTTATTTATGATTTGGGACTACGAGGCGGTACCTCGGGAGTGCCCTTGTTGATATTGATTTATGGCCGCAATTGCCTTTGATTATTGTTGTGATTTTCTTAAAGTTGAAAGAAAATTTTATTTTATTTCCACGAGATATTATTTGCCATTATTTGGTGTAATTAAATGGTGACATGCTATTTGATTAATTTTTATTTTCATTTTATCTTATTATATTGTTAAATATTTTACCATGTTATTATTTATTTTCCAGTAGGGCCTAACCTGACCTCGTCAGTACTCTACCGAGGTTAGGCTTGACACTTACTGGGTACCGCTGTGGTGTATTCATACTATACTTCTGCACATCTTTTTGTGCAGATCCAGGTATATCTTATCAGACTAGGTATGAGTAAACTAGTTGTACGGGGAGACTTCGAGGTATATCTGCCAGCGTCCGCAGACTCCGGAGTCCCCTTCTATCTTACTATGTTGTTTTTCTTATTTGCTTTAGACTCTGATGTATAAAGACATATAGAATAAATTCTTAGAAGCTTGTGACTTATTTCTACCAGGTTTTGGGAGTTGAAATTTTGCAAATTTTTAGATTTATTTATTTCAGATTTCTATTTTATTTCGCATTGATAGGCTTACCTAGTCTTAGAGATTAGGTGCCATCACGACATCCTACAGAGGAAATTTGGGGTCGTGACAAGTTGGTATAAGAGCTCTAGGTTCATAGGTATTATGAGTCA